AAAATTACAAAGTTTCACAATAACCAAAATGTTACCATGCTGCTTAGATGTGACATCTAATGCATTGTACAATCTAAACTGTATGAGGACACCTTTAATTTAGTGTATATTTATCAAAGAACTTCTGTAAGTTAGATTTTGCAAATTGCAGGAGACATAAAGATTGAATAGATACAGTTTTGGTCTTTAAGATGTTCATGTTAGAATAGAGCTCTCTCTATTAAATTTCTGTGTTTTTTCAACAGAATTTTCAAAGAAAGCATTTTTATTGATTTATTTACTTTGTCCACTTGAGTAACTATCAAATGTGTTTTAGGTACTAAGCATTTTTCTAATGTTACAGAATACAAACATTTTAAAAATACAGTGAGGAGCTAGTTATTATCATTGTCATGTTTATTATTTACTACTTTATTCAGTGTTTGCTGTGTGCCAGATGCCCTGTAGGAGCTTATAATTATCATTTATTATGTATTTATTGTGTTGAATATGTGCCAGACACTAAGTATGTGGTAAGGAATTGCAACTTTAAAAAAGTGGGTAGGATTTAAGGTAAGCACAGAGTGAGTAGAAGTTTGCCAGGTAAAGAGGCAGAAGGATGGTGCTTGGCAGAAGGAATATCTAACAAGATTGCGTGTTTGGCAGAAGGAACAGCAAGTGCAAAATGCCAAGACACATGAGTGAACTTGGCAGGGTTTCTGAGCAGTTACATTTAGCTAGTGCAAAAAGTGCGATGTGGGAGAGGTTGGGAATGAGGTACATCCCCAGCCAAGGCAAGCCTCTGAAAGGCTTTTCAATACTGTAGAAATGACAGATTTTATCCTGTAGGTAGGCCGTGGGAGATTTAGCAGTTAGAATCCTTTGGGGTGCAAATAATAGATGACTTAACCAGATGACCAGAGTTGTTTTTTGCCGGTTCAGTGATGTCATCAGGATTCCACTTGTCCCTCCTTCAGCTGTGCTGTTGGTGGTGTTTCGTTCATTTCTCCTTTCGCAGTTGGCTAATTTGCAACAGCTCCAAACATCATGTTCTCACAAGACAATATCTAAAGGCTGGAAGGGTTGCTTTTCTTCACATTTTTCTTTTAAATAGGGAAAAAACTCAGAATCTTGCAGTGAACTGCCTTTTACATTGTATTGCCTCAGTTACAGCACATGCTTATTCCTAAACCTGTCATTGGGAGAGCAGATGTAATTATTGTGATTAGTTTAGAATAATCATTTCTCTTTTTGGAGCTGGGCAGGTGTATTGGGATGATAAATATCCAAACAGAATTGTGTTTCTCCAGCAAGAAAGAATGAGGAATGGCTGTTGGGTAGGGAGCCAGCAATGTTTGCTGCAGGGATTCGTTGGCAAATCTTGAGCAGGGGAGGCATAAGATCACATTTGAGTATTAGGGCATTCTGGTTTTGATAGAAAGCAGGGATTGGCAATTTTTTTCTGTAAAGGGCCAGATAGTAAGTATTTTAGGCCTTGCAGGGGTTTCTGTCGTATCTGCTCAACCCTGCCATTGTCGTGTGAAAGCAATCACAGGTAATATGTAAGTGAAAAAGCATGACTGTGCTTCAGTAAAACTTTATTTACAGAACCACATGGCAGGCTGGATTTAGCCTGTGGCTCGTAGTTTTCTGACCTTTCTCATACGTAGAGGATAGATGTACGGTAACCACCCAAAGAAACTGGGAGACAATGGATGCTTTCGTGTAGGCAAACCCAGAATTTCCTTATCACCAATGTTTGGACTAGTGTCAATCTATTATCAGGTTTTCACCTATTCATGGTGAAATTAATAAAGTTAGGAAGCTCAGTTTATTCATTTTTAAATGCTGTTCTTTTTTCTTGGCATCGTGCCTTTTTCATTTGTTTTTTTAAAATTTTTTTATTTAAGTCATAACATTCATTGTTGGTGGGTGTTTTTTCTCTGTGAAAGCCATCAGTTAAGATCCCATGTTTAACTAAGAAATATAAACGTATCCATTTTATATGTTTATATTTCCAGTGGCGTGGGAATATAAAGCAGAAGCCAAAAAAGGTACAGTTAATTCAGTTTGGTGATTATTGGATATAAAAAGTTAGGGGGCAGAGAAAAATTTCAGATGATTCATAGGTTTCCAGGTTGTACACTAGTGTTTAAACTGGACATGAGGGAGTAAGAAATTGTCAGGTAAACAGAGACGAGCAGCAGGTCAACAGGGAAGACCAGCTTATTCTATGTATTAATACTTGGAGTTTATTGGAATATTCATCTAGGGTATTTTCAGTAGGTAACCAATAATAGGCATTTCTAGCTGGAGACAGAACTCTGAGATTGTAGATACAGTCATAAAATAATCTTGTCATTATTAGGCAAAGTTGTAGATCTGAATGAGTTTGTGCAAGATGGGGAAGATATAGAATAAGAAGAACACCAGTGACACAACCCTGAGATTGTCAACACTTCCCAGAGGAAAAGGTGTTAGTAAAGAAGACTGAGCAGTGGCTAGAGAAAAGTAGGAGAGGAATCAGAGGAAGGATGTTGCAGAAATTTTTTAAAAAAGGGAGAATTTCAAGGAGGGAGTATGAATGCTAACAAGTAAGCTTACTAAAAAGTAAGTTGGATTAACTGTTAAAAGCTCTTTGGGGGTATCCTTTTCAAAAGCACAGTTTTATTTTTCTATTGTTGATTTAAAATGTATTTTACTTTTTTCTTTAATAGAGGATGGAAGTTCTGAAGACTCTTTAAGCAGGTAGGATTTTACAGATTTTAAAAAATTCTGTTATCTAGGTGAATACAGAGAAAGAAACCAATATTTGTTGAGTGTTCTCTGGGTTAGACACCATATTGTGCTTAACATTTATCATCTTGTATAGTCATCACAACAGCTTTGCAAAATACCTTTGCTATTATATACTACTTTTTGTTAATTGGGCAACTGTGGTTCGGAGGGGTTGATTAATTGGCCCATGATCCCACAGTTAACAAGTAGCTGACCCATAATTTGACTATCAGCTTGCCTGGTTCCCAGATCCTTTCTCTTGCCCCTCAGCATAGATTGTTAGAGGCCTGTGCAGCACTGGGATCAAAGTACCAGGTCCCAATCAGATCAATTCAGAAAGCCTGGTTAGTCCAAGAGTTTGTCCTCATGTATTTGACAATTGAGTGGTAACCAGTACCTTTTTCTTTTTCTTTTTTTGAGATGGGGTCTCGCTTTGTTGCCTGGGTTAGTGTGCAGTGGCATCAACATAGCTCACTGCAACCTCAGACTCTTGAGCTCAAGCGATCCTCTTATCTCAGCCTCCCAAGTAGCTGGGACTACAGGTGTGTGCCACCCTGTCCGGCTAATTTTTCTATTTTTTGGTAGAGACAGGGTCTCGCTTTTGCTCAGGCTGGTCTCAAACTCCAGGCCTCAAGCAATCCTCCTGCCTCAGCCTCCCAAAGT